TTTTGGCGGTGTGCCGGTTATGTTTTGATGGTGTCCGGGTCATGTGATGGTGTCCCGGTCATGTTGTGATAGTGTCCCGGTCATGTTGTGATGGTGTCCCCGTCATGTCATGCTGGTGTCCCGGTCACCTTGTGATGGTGTTCCGGTTATGTTGTGATGGTGTCCCAATCATGTTGTGACGGTGTCTCGGTCATGTTTTGATGGTGCCCTGGTCATTTTGTGATGGTGTCCTGGTTATGTGATGATGGTGTCCAAGGAAGAGATGGTCGATGTTTTGAAAACAGCAGCTGTTTCCAGATTTTTCTTTTTGTCCCGGTTTGTATCTTGCTATTGGGGTCTCCAGCTGGGCTAATTAGTATGTCTTTGAATCTTCTTAGTAACAAGAAGGAAAGCATAGAAACTCATAGAAACGGACGTCACGTAGCAACACCATGAACACCGATATAACATGAAAGCAAGGTCCAACAACCCGGCACGTGTCGGGTGCAATGTCCGGATGGCTATCGTGTTTAAAACCACGAAAATCAATCCAGGGGCTCTTGTTTGCCTGCAACTTACCAATTTGCAAGGGAGAACACAGTTTGGTACATATGAGCTTACTTAATTAATACAGGTGAGTGATGCCTCACTTTCATGTGCAAGTTCTGTTTGGATCCATTTACTGATGGACCTTGCATGTTGTTGCATGACTGGCTTGCGCTCAGCTTGCACTCACGAGGGAGTGACCAAATCGCAAGGTCTCAGATTTCATGTGCACCTTGTGTCCTTCCCTTTTTCTGGTTTCCTTGTGTTCATCGTACTCATTTACCAACAGGTTTCCCAACATTGTAGAGGGACCTCAATCGCATGAGTCTGTGTGTTCAAGGTCTTCAAACAACTGCCCCAAACTCCCAGAAAACATGTGACATCTCTGCATCGTTTTCCTTACAATAGGTGACTCGAGCTGATACCTCCAATGTGTTTGCCTTCGCTCTTCAAGTCTTCTGTTCAAAGAGGAGGCCATTGCTAGTAGGTTGGAGGCCGTGGCTACTAGGGTGGAGGCCATTGCTAATGTTGGATGCTGATTAGTAAATGGGCCCTCTATAATGCTAAATTTTTCCAAAATTATTCAGACCCCCCTGTTTGAAAAATGGTTCCTGAATAATGCTAACTTTTTTGGGGGCCCTAAATTTTTATATTGGAAACCTATTTAATAAGGGTTTGAATTCCTTCTGAGGCCAATGATTATGATTCAGAAGCTGATATAGCTTTCTCTAGGTTTCTTCGAAACTGACAGCTGACCAAAACCACCAATTCCCCAATTAAACCCTTTACAAAACATTGTTCCTAAACAAATTTTCAAGGTAGTAGACCAGGAAGGCACCTGATCCTCAATAATAAATTTATTTTTTGGGTCCTCAATTGTGAAAAGTTTTTTCCACTGGAAAAAATGCGCATGGAATCTCCCTTTACTTAGCTCCTGAGGCCAATGATTATGATTCATTAGCTGATATATAGCTTTCTCTAGGTTTCTTCAAAGCTGACAGCTGACCAAAACCACCAATTCCCCAATTAAACCCTTTATAAAACATTGCTCCTAAACAAATTGTCAAGGTAGTAGACCAGGAAGGCACCTGATCCTCAATAATAAATTTG